GGATATGTGGGTGAGCTCTGGTGGCCTAGTGGCAAGAAACTACACTGCAATCCCAGAGGTGTGTGGTTCAAATCCACCAGATGCTTTGCTGGAGAAGGAGGAACAATCTCCTCCTGTACCAGTCTGATCTGATTTGACGGTACACACACAAATGATAAAAATTTTTTATAAAAAAAGGGATATGTGATTTGGTATTTTTTGTCATGACAGGAGTCCAGAACAAAGACAGCATAATGGAGTGGACCTGGGGAGAGGGGTTATAAAACAGTGAAAGAATTTTTCTTTTACTTTTCAAAGAGAAGAGTGTACTGGCAATGGGGAGAAGTGAGCAGGGAGAAAAGTGCAACAATGAATGAATGGAAATCCAAAGTCTCTGTAAATTTTCATCAAAATTAATAATAAAAAAAAAATCTGGACATTTTCTTATTAACCATTCAGTTTGCAACTAAGTAACCTTGGACTATCCTTTCCCCCACCCCCTCCCAGGGCCGAGGCAAAAAAAGAAAAGAAAGCTCGATGACTCAGACCTGTTTGTATCTGCTGAAGAGGTAAGATTACTACAATCCTGACAGGTTAACTACTCTACATTTGTCCACACTTTAATTAATTATTTTATTTTATTTATTTTTTTTTTAAGTTTGGACACCTATTGGATGAAAATATGGGATCCAAGTTTGATTACATTGGCATGAACGCCATGGCTAACAAAGATAATGCGAGTAAGTACTTTGAATTTTTTCATTGACGTTTTTAAATAGCCCTGACTTAGAATATAGGTATGTTAACAGTGGGCCCAAGCTTGTAAGGGATCATGAGGCTGACACAGGATAGGGGAAAGTTCCAGTCTGTTGTTTATAGCTATAGTATCACTATGAATTGTAGTCAACACAATGGCAAATAAGAACAATAAACATTCTTGGAGGGCCTTTTCATAGTACCTGACAACTTACTCCCAAAATGAGTAGGATGTAGGATTAAAGAGCCTTTAGGATGTAGGATTTAGACCTTTTAAAAGTTGTATTCACAACAGTGTTTTCACCATCACAAGAACATGGGAACAGCCCACATGTCCAGCCACAGATAATATCTTAATCCTAAAGTTTTTTCTTGTAATTGATGATGTTATTGGATGTCATCAAGTTAGTTCTGACTCATAGTGACCCCATGTAAAAATAAGTACAGATAATTATCAGATCACAGCTGACTGGATTGAGAAATTATGGTACATTCACACAATGGAATAATATGGAGCACTCAGGAGCACCAGTTTTGAAAAATACTACATAACTTGGGAGACTGGAGAACAGTATGCTGAGTGAACTAATTCAGTCCCAAAAGGACAAATACTGCATATGACCATTATTGTAAAAATAACTAGTAAACCATATATAGAGATCCACGGAGGAAGGGGTGGGAGCAGAGGGGTGAGGATGGGTGGGGGGAAATCACAGAGTTGCACACATTTGGTAGGTGGAGGGGGATAAAGGAAATGGGGAATATTTGGAGTGGACCTGAAAAGACAGACATAGTCCAATGGTGATTGATTTTATAAAACATAATGAATGGGAATGATTGTAAATACAATATGATTGAAGAATAGTGTGCAACTCAATGTATATGAACTTTATAAGCACACCAATATAAAATGATTTTTTAAAAAAATGTTACATTTCATTAATATGTCAGGTAAAGGCGTGAATTTCTCGTATTAGAAGTTACTACTTTCTACTTTTCCAACGGTACAAGTATCTGAGGAAAAAGAATTCTCAGAACACTTATTCGTTTTTATAATCTTTTACTTGTAAACCATGAGTGTTTTAAATATTGATACATAGAGAAAACAGCAGTCAGTGGACTTTGTGTAGTGGATATGATGTGAGCTTCAGGTCACAGTGGTCACGCAG